CATAAACAAATTTAAAAGTGAAAAATACATAAACATGAATTGTAAAGGTGAAGCTCGGTGGTGGATCATTTGCCAGCATGTGCGAGGTCCTGGTTTCAATCCCCACACTGTACACAAATGCATACACTCACACACACATTCACAGCACAGTCACACACTAGTGTGCCTTATGAAAATAATTGAGTGTGCCAACAATTCAGAATACTTTTCATAACCTAAATCAAAATGCAATTATATTGAAAAACACCAGAGGAAATGTTTTAAATGTATAAATAAACCAAAGTGAAAAATAAAAGGAGAAAAAGAAACAGGAAGACAGGTGTTTTGCTAGTGGGAAATTGATCAAGAAATGGAGGAAAAGCCAGGTGAGGTGGTGCACACTTATTGCCCCAGCAGGCGGGAGGCTGAGGCAGGGGGTTGCTTCAAGTTCCATTGAGTCCAGAGCAGCCTGAACTACATAGTGAGACTCTGCTCCAAAAGAAAAAGAGAGGAGAGGAGAGAGGAGGGGAAGAGAAGGGAATGGAGGGGAGGGGAGGGGAGACGAGAAGGAAAAGAAATGTAAAAAGAACTGAGATGTGTTATGTACATGTACTAACTGCCCATACTAAGTGCAATCATTATATACCACAAACATGTACTGATAAGAATAAAAAGTAAACAGAGCTAAGAAACCACGTAAAGAATGAGGATATGTCCGACAAATGATCATTTTGCATAAATTATTTGTAATATTCAGATAATGTACATGAAGACATTTCTTGTGCATAGATATTCCACCTATCTCTAGAAAATAATTTATCTTCAAAATACTTTTTTGTAGAGATGAATACTGTATTTTGAGACATACAACAACAGAATACCAACTCAGTTATTTGGTACATATTTTGAATCACAATTTTAATTGCATTCAGCATTCTGTTTTGAGCTTAATTTTCACTTTGAATGAAAAGATACCAGGTTTTAACATCAATTATATTATTTTAAAGCTATGCATCAGCATGCACGTTCATCCCTTTTCTCCATGTTTCCTTGAAGAGGCAGGATGCTAGCCCACGGTTCCTGTAGACCCTGCCCCAGTATGTGGTACCTGGCGCTTAACATGTGTTAAATGACTCTGGTTGACTGGGAAAAGCTGCTGAGAATGTGAAAATTGGAACATAACAGTACAGAACATTACCAGTGAGAAATAATGTGAAAATTTTTAATATGATTTTTTAATTAATTGTAGTGATCCTCAAATATAATTCAATTTCACACTTCACTCTCACATAATCTTCTGCAATATTTGGATATACAAGTTAGTTTCTTGGGCAGATAACTATAAGTTTTCAGCTTTTGGGCTCCTCAAAAATTATATCATTGATTGCATTCCCACTTTGGCCACAAAATTGGAGTGCCGTAATCAATGACAGCCGGGAAACGTATTTCACAAAATATCCAACATCGAGCATATTACCTGGTTCTACAGTTAATTGGTAAACTATATAAAAGCTTGTACATTTTCAAAAGAGATTTATATCTACTAGGAAGACTACAGCAACAATGGTACTTAAGAGGACTTTTTTCCATACAGTAGATATGCAGATTTGTTTCCCTCTTGAGTTGACAGAAATTCTCTGTCTTGCTGCTGTCTACTTGAACCCAACTTCCATGTCATTAGTAGTGTCCTTAGTAACATAAGGGAGCTTTGGACTTAGTAACATAATGATAG